TCATTAGTGGTTACCTGAAGAGCCTTGACTTCTCAGTTGAATGAAAAACTCCCTTAGGTGCTCATGGTAAGGGATTTCCTGAAGGTGGAGCCGATGCTGGTTATTAATGGGCCTCAATTTGCATTTCAATGGCCTCCAGGTGGGGTTGAATCTCAGAGGGAGGTGCCACTGCCTCTCCCCAGAACCCTGGGAAGGAGTATGATGACCACAGTCCTGGGTGGTCACAACTCAGCAAAAGCTCTGAGCACCCTCCAAATCCCGAGTGTTTCCACACAGTTCCAGTCTATTCTGCCCTTCATCTGCTGGAGCCCAAGGTATGTGGCTGTGGCTATTTTAGCCTCTGTCCCTGCTCTGTGCTATGAAGCTGCTTGGGAGTTTAACTCGAGGGCACTGCTCACAGCTAAGTCCACTGCCGACCATGGGCTCCCAGCCCCCCTCTTGCGTCTCTGCAAGCCTACCAGGATTGAGTCATTGTCCCTGGTTATGTGGTCTTCCAGCAGCTTTTCTGTTGCTTTTTCCTGACAATTTGTCTTTATTTTCATTGTAATTGCAGTTTGGTCCTGGGAGATGGTCTGTGTAGCTTCCATTCACTTTGCTGGCATTTTTGAATATGCAAGACATTTTAAAAAGAAATAGAAGAAGATAAGAAAAAATAAAAGTGTATACCTTGAAAAATTAATATCATTAAAATGTCCATACTATCCAAAGCAATTTATGGATTTAATGCAATCCCCATCAAAATACCAATGACATATTTCACAGAGCTTCAAAAGTTCAGACAGAACCAAAAAAGACTCTGAATAGCCATGGCAATCTTGAAAAAGAAGGACAAAGTTGGAGGGATCACAACACCAAATATCAGGAATACTACAAAACTACTCTAATCAATACAATCTGGTACCGGCATAAGAACAGGCATATAAATCAATGGATCAGAACAGAGAACCCAGAAATTGACCCAAGGCAATATGCTCAATTAATATTTGACCATGGTGGCCAGAGCATACAGTGGAGTAAAGACAGCTTCTTTAATAAATGGTGTTGGGAAAATTGGACAGCTACATGCAAAAAAAAAGAAACTAGACCATCAACTTACACCCTACACAAGAATAAACTCAAAATGGATAAAAGACTTAAATGTGACTCATGAATCCATAAAAATCCTAGAAGAAAATACAGGTAACAAAATTTCAGACATCTTACGCAGCAGAATTTTCACTGATACATCACCTAAGGCAACAGAAACAAAGGAGAAAATGAACACATGCGACTACATCAAACTCAAAAGCTTCTTTCTGCACAGCAAAAGAAACAACCACCAAAATGGAAAGGCAACCCAGTATGGGAGAGCATAATTTCCAATGATATATTAGATAAGCGGTTAATTTTCAAAATATATAATGTACTCATACAACTCAACAAAAGGAAGACAAAGAACCCAATTAAACAGTGGGCAGAGGAACTAAATAGACACCTCTCCAAACAGAACATGCAAATGGCCAAGAGATATATGAAGAAATGCTGAACACTAATCATCAGAGAGATGCAAATTAAAACAACAATGAGGTATCACCTCACACCTGTCAAATGGCTGCCACCAACAAATCATCAAACCATAAGTGTTGGTGAGGGAGAGGAAAAAAGGGGACTCTAGTACACTGCTGGTGGGAATGCAGACTGGTACAGCCACTATGGAAAACAGTATCGTGTTTCCTCAAAAAAATTAAAAATTGAACTGCCATTTGACCCAGCAATCCCACTTCTAGAAATATTCCCAAGAAGCCTTAAACACCAATCAGAAAAAATATATGTACCCCTATGTTCATAGCAGCACTATTTACAATTGCTAAGTTCCAGAAACAACCCAAATGCCTATCAATAGATGAGTGTATAAAAAAGCTGTGGTACATATATACAATGGAATACTATGCAGCTGTAAGAAAGAAAGATCTCTTATTCTTTGAGAAGACATGGAGCGACCTGGAGATATCACGCTAAGTGAAATAAGCCAATCAGAGAAAGACAAATACCACATGATCTCACTTATTTGTGGAATATAACAAAAAAGATAGGCTGAAGAACAAAATATACCCAGAGTCATAGATCATAGTATGGATCAGACTGATGAACCTCAAAATAGGAGGGCAGGGGGATGAATGAGATGAACCAAAGAACTTTTATTCATGTATGCATAACCAGTGGACACAGACAACAGTGTAGGCTGGTGAGGGGAGTGAGGCGGTGGAATAGGGAGAAGGGTGTCAAGGGGGAAAGGAGAAACATCTGTAACAAAAATAAATTAATAAAAATTGGAAAAATTAACGATAATTGTATTGTAGTGCCTATTACACATGGAAAAGTAATAATTTCCACAGTAGCATGACAAAGGAGATGTGTGGGATTTGCAATGTATTTGAGTAAGATGATAGAGCAGACATAAAGTTAAATAAGGAGGAATATATACAGAGAACCAAAAATAATAAATAAGAAGAGTCATATAAAACTTTATAAATATATACATTTCTTTCTTCTCTTATCTTCTTCAGGGGCACACAATTATCCAAAAATAAATATCACAATTAAGTTTATATTATAGGTATACTCCGTACCCTAGACCCCATTTTCTGCAGTTTTATTTAGTGCATTTCAGTAATCCATGTTCAATCTCAATCCAAAAGTATCAAATGGAAAGTTCCAGATGAATAATTACTAAGGTTTAAACTAAGAACCATATTGTGGAGCATGATGAATCTCATGATGTCCCCCTCTGTCCAACCCAGGACATAAGTAATCCATTCATCCAGCATATACACTGAGTATGCAACCTGACCTTTAGTTACATATTAGCCTTCTCCATTTTTGCATAAATAAGCACTATCATGTTGTCCCAGTGCTTGTGTTGAAATAAACCTGATTTTACCTCATAATGGCCACATTGTTCAAGCATAGTGATGCTAGCAGTTTGGATATACCAAGAAGAATCCAAAACTTTTATCATAGATATACATGTATAGGAATCCTCATACTATATTTAGGGTTTATTATACTTCAGTTTCAGGCATCCATCCACTAGTGGGTCTTAGAATGTATCCCCTACAGATTAATTGGGCCTGCTGTGTAATAATAGCACAAAAAGAGAAAAGAGGTAATGCAGTTATATAGGAATAACATTTATAGATCTATCTAGAATATTTTTTCAGTGTCAATCTGAAGTAGAATCTAAAATTTACAGTGTTGTTAGTTACAAAACTCAATATATATATATATACACACACATATATGTATACTTAATTTTTTTCTTTATTGATTTTAGAGAGAGAGGAAGGTAGAGAGAGGGAGATATAGGAACACTGATGAGGGAGAACATTAACTGGCCACCTACTCCATGACCCTCATTGGGGATCAGGCCCACAAACTGGGCATATGACCTGACTGGGAATCAAACCGGCGACCTCTTGGTGCATGGGTTGACACTCAACCACTGAGCCACAACTCTGGGCTGAATATATATTCAAAAAATCCATTAAATTCTCTTTTAATATGGGGAAAATGTATGTTGTGCTATATATTTTGTAAAAATAGCTTTCCAAACTACAAGTAGGTAGATATTATGAAGGAAGAAAATTGTGATTCTTACTGTATTATCAGTTACTCCAACATTTCTCCCCTTAAATGCTATTCAGATTGCCTCCTGCTAATCTTACTGTACTTTGCGTACTTGATTCTTATCACTTGGTTTTTCTTACTTATGCTGGTTAGAGCAGGACCAGTGGAAGTAAGATATGTCCACTAATATTTCCCAGTTTTGTGTTGTTATAGCTCATGTATCTTTCCCAAAATTCTTCTAATCAATTAATGAACATTTGTTCTCCCTAATATAAGACATTAATTTGTTAATGATTCCTGAGTGGGTACTCTCACTGTAAAGAAGTCGGCGTGGTATGTTTGGGCTGGCAGAATCATAGTGCAAACTTTAATATATGTTCATGGGTGCAGCCATTTCTTCAAAGCAAGTGTTCTGCTGTACATTGTCAGGACCATGGGAGGTTTCTAACTGCACTCGCATGATCTACTAGAAATTGACTTTCACTCAATAAATTGTTGAACCATATGTCAACTTTATGTTACCTATCATATTTATCCCTTTTACAACACTAATTTCTCTTTAACTCCTTTTATACATTATTTATGTCACTAGACCAAGTTAATAATTATTAATTATGGCAAAAGCTTTGAATCATAGGAAAACTCAAGTGGAAATAAACCCAGATGGAATAATGCTACTCCTGCAAACTTAACCATTTCCTCCTTGCAAAATACAAGGTTTCCATCCAAAGATACCAAAAAAAAAATCTACCTTTATTAGTCAATAAATGTCCTTTTAGTCTCTTGGTCATGGATATCTACCTGATTTACAGTTACAGAAATTAAAGAATTAAAATTTTCCTGGATGAGTTAAAGTATTTCTGACTTATAGAAAGTTTCTGTGACTACACAGTCCATGGTTTGCTACTTGTCTTCTGGTAAAAGAACAAACACAAACAAAGAGTTGAGTTCTTCAAGAAGTACAGCACCCCCCCCCCCAAAAAAAAGCTTCTAATGTAATCTTGGAAGTAATCTTACTATCCTAAATTTTCTGGGATAATTTAATCTGCATAAAAATGAATCTTTTTGAAATAAAATCTCTTTAAGGAATTATGTGTCATAGCTACTAAAATGTGTATCAATTTTCTCATTTCCTAGATATGTGTTCTGGACAAATTGGTAACATCTCTAAACATCAACATAATATTGCTATATCCTTGCTACATCTGTTCCAATTTAAGGCTTTGTGATTTTACCATCTAAACATTTCATATAATGATTTTCTGTATAATCAAACACGCTAGTTACAACTACAGTGCACACACAATATGGAAACATATATATCCACAGGTAAAAGATTGGAATGAAAATGATCATATGATGTGTTTTGAAATCTGTTTGTTTATGTAGGAACTAACGTGGAAAGTTCAACAGACACAATTACACGTGGCATAATAAAGGGACTACTCCAGAACCAATCAATGGATTTTCCAGGTAAGGACAAGAAATTAAGAAATATAGTATTTCAGATATACTTATCCTCTTAGTACTTGAGTTAACTTTGGATCTTTAAGAACAAAAGTTCCTATAGTTTTCTATTACAAAGAGAAAAGTTTGAATATATATCCTCCATTAAGTAGTTAAACTCTTGACTTAAATACAGCCATACCTTGTAGATATTTTTGGCTTGATCCCAAAGCATTTCTACAGAGTGACTATGACAAAAAGCAAGTCACATGAAACTTCACCTCTGCTTATATTGCTATGGTGGTATGTTTCTACTACCATGGTGATATCCATGGACTCAGTCATTTCAGCAAAACAAGTCTTATAGTGTAAGATGTCTGCAACATGACAAGTTTTCTTTTCAGTTATAATAGTCATTGCAATATATTTTATCTCTTCTTTCCCAGAATAATTTACCCAGTATGTGATACATAGTCACCATTATAATTTTTGGTGTGTCATTGAAAAATGATGATTACACTATACTGAAGTTTATGTGTACATGCATATAAGTTCTGTGTTTTATCTTTTTCCTCCCCTCACCCCCCCACACCGCCTCTTCTGAGGGTTGTTAGTCTGTACCCTACTTCCACGTCTCTGGGTCTACCCTGTTCCTCAGACTGCTATGGTCATTATATTCCACAAATAAGTGAGATCATGTGATATTTGTTTTCTCTCCTTGGCTTGTTTCACATCGGATAATACTCTCCAGGTCCCTCCATGTCTTCTCAAAGGATAAGAGATCTTTCTATCTTATGGCTGCATCTCCACTATCCATATGTACTACAGCTTTTTTATCCATTTGTCTACTGATGGACACTTGGGCTATTTCCAGATCTTAGCTATTGTAAATAGTGCTCCTATGAACATGGAGGTACATATATTCTTCCCGATTGGTGTTTCAGGCTTCTTAGGGTATATTTCTAGAAGTGGGATCAAGTGACAATTCAATTTTTAACTTTCTGGAGTAACACCATAGTCCTTTCCATAGTGGCTTCACCAGTCTGCATTGCCACCAGCAGTGTACTACAGTCCCCTTTTCTCCATACCCTCGCCAACCCTTGTTTGATGATTTGTTGATGGCGACCGTTCTGACAGGTGTGAGGTGATACCTCATTGTTGTTTTAATTTGCATCTCACTGATGGTAAGTGATGTTGAGCACTTCTTCATATGTCTCTTAGCCATTTGTATACCCTGTTTGGAGAGGTATCTGTTCAGTTCCTCTACCCATTTTTTATTTAATTTTATTTTTTTTAATTAACTAATTTATTTATTTTTGTTACAGATGTTTCTCCTTTTTCACCCACTGATTTCTCCCTCCTCCTCCCTCCCCTCCATGTCCCCAGCTTTGTTGTCCATGTCCATTATCCGTGCATACATGCATATAAGTTCTGTGGTTTATCTCTACCCCCCACCCCCTCTTCTTGCGATTGTCAATCTATACCCCACTTCCACAGCTCTGGAACTACCCTGTTCCTCAGACCTCTGCCCATTTTTTAATTAGATTTTTTGTCTTTCTTTTGTTGAGTTGTATGAGTACTCTATATATTTTGAAAATTAACCCCTGATCTGATCTGTCATTGCCAATGATGCTCTCCCATACAGTGGGTTCCCTTACCATTTTGATGGTTGTTTCTTTTGCTGTGCAGAAGCTTTTGCGTTTCATGTAGTTTCATGTGTTTATTTTTTCCTTTCTTTCTGTTGTGTTAGGTGATATATCAGTGAAAATTCTGCTGTGTATGATGCCTGAAATTTCATTGCCTACATTTTCTTCTAGGGTTTTTATGGATTTATGAGTCATATTTAATTATTTTATGCATTTTGAGTTTATTCTTGTGTATGGTGTAAGTTGAAAGTCTAGTTATGTGGTTCTCAACATGGAGGTCATGACCCCTTTGGGGGATTAAATGACCCTTTTTTCAGGGATCACCTAAGACCATCGAAAAACAAGTATTTCCAATGGTCTTAGGAACCTAGACACTGCTCCTCTATCCATCTCCAGGGGGGTTTGCCCACATGCATATATGCCCACATACAACATAAAGAACTGTATTAAAGGGTTGCAGCATTAAAAAAGTTGAGAACCACTGGTCTAGTTTCATTTTTTTTGCATGTAGTTGTCCAGTTTTCTCACCATCATTTATTAAAGAGGCTCTCTATACTCCATTGTATGCTCTTGCCACCTTTGTAAAATATTAACTGACCATAATGTCCTGGGTCCATTTCTTGGTTCTCTACCCTGTTCCATTGATCTATATGCTTGTTCTTGTGCCAGTATAGGGCTGTTTTGATTACATTAGCTTTGTAGTATAACCTGATATCCAGTATTGTGATCCTATCTACTTTGTTCTTCTTTTTCAAGGTTCCTGAGGCTATTCAGAGGCTTTTTTGGTTTTATATGGACTTTTGAAGTGTTCTAGTTCTGTGAAATATGTTGTTGCTATTTTGATAAGGATTGCATTAAATCTATAAATTGCTTGGGGTAATACGGACATTTAAATGATGTAAATAATTCCAATCCATGAACAAGTTATGTGCTTCCACTTCTTTATATCTTCCTCTATTTTTTAAATTAATTAATTTATTTTTCTTACTGATGTTTCTCCTTTTCCCCTCACTGATTTTCCCCTCCCCACGCTGTCCCCACCTTTGTTGTCTATGTCCCTTGTTCATGCATACATACATATAAGTTCTGTGGTTTATCTCTCCCCCACAACTCCCTCTTCTGGGGATTGTCAGTGTGTACCCCACTTCCACGTCTCTGAAACTACCCCACTCCTCAGACTGTTATGTTCATTATATTCCAAAAATAAGTGAGATCATATGATACTTGTCTTTCTCTGCTTGGCTTGTTTCACTTAGGATGATACTTTCCAAGTCCCTACATGTCGACTCAAAAGCTAAGAGATCTTTCTTTCTTACAGCTGCATAGTGCTCCATTGTATATATGTACCACTGCTTTTCTATCCATTCATCTACTGATGGACATTTGAGCTGTTTCCAGATCTTAGCTATTATAAATACTGCTGCTACAAACATGGAGGTACATAAATTCTTTCAAATTGGTGTTTCAGGCTTCTTAGGGTATATTCCTAGAAGTGGGAACACTGGGTCAAAAGGCAGTTCAATTTTTAATTTTTTGAGGTACCACCATAATGTTTTCCATAGTGGCTGCACCAGTCTACATTCCCACCAGCAGTGTACTGGAGTCCCCTTTTCTCCACACTCTCGCCAACACTTGTTTAATGATTTGTTGATGGCACCCATTCTGACAGGTGTGAGGTGATATCTCATTGTTGTTTTCATTTGCATCTCTCTGATGAGTACTGATGTTGAGCATTTCTTCATATGTCTCTTGGTCATTTGTATGTCCTGTTTGGTGAGGTGTTTATTTAGCTTCTCAGCCCATTTTTTAATTGGGTTCAATGTCTCCCTTTTGTTGAATTCTATGAGCACTCTATATATAATGGAAATTAACCCTTCATCTGATATATCATTGGCAATTATGCTCTCCCATAGAGTGGGTTGCCTTTCCATTTTCATGAGTGTATCTTTTGCTGTGCAGAAGCATTTGAGTTTCATGTATTCGCATGTGTTCATTTTTTCCTTCGATTCTGTTGCCTTAGGTGATGTATCAGTGAAAATTATGCTGTGTATGATGTCTGAAATTTTGTTGCCTGAAATTTCTTCTAGGATTTGTATTGATTCATGAGTCACATTTAAGTTTTTATTCATTTTGAGTTTATTTTTGTGTATGGTGTAATTTGATGGTCTAGTTTCATTTTTTTTTTTTTTTTTTGCATGTAGCTGTCCAATTTTCCTAATACCATTTATTAAAGAGGCTGTCTTTACTCCACTGTATGCTCTTGCCACCTTTGTCAAATATTAATTGAGCATATTGCCTTGGGTCCATTTTTTGGTTCTCTGTTCTGTTCCACTGGTCTATATGCCTGTTCTTGTGCCAGTTCCAGGCTGTTTTGATTACAGTGGCTTTGTAGTATAACCTGAAATCTGGTAATGCGATCCCCCCTACGTTGTTCTTCTATTTCAAGATTGCTGTGGATATTCGAGGTCTTTTTTGGATCCATATGAACTTTTGAAGTATTTGTTCTAATTTTGAGAAGTATGTCGTTGGTATTTTGATGGGGATTGTATTGAATCTATAGATTGCTTTGGGTAATAGAGGCATTTTAATTATGTTAATTCTTCCAATCCATGAACAAGGTAGCTGCTTCCACGTTTTTATATCTTTCTCTATTTCTTTTTTCAATGACCTATAGTTTTCTTCAAATAGGTCCTTTATATCATTGGTTAAGTTTATACCTAGTTATCTTAATTTTTTGCCGCGATGGTAAATGGGATTGTTTTTTCAGTTACTCTTTCTGTGAGTTCATCATTGGTGTATAAGAATGCCATTGATTTCTTGACTTATATTTGTATCCTGCTACTTTGTCAAATTCATTTATTAAGTCTAGTAAATTTTTTAAGCAGTCTTTGGGGTTTACTATGTATAGTATCATGTCATCTGCGAAAAATGACTGTTTCACTTTATCCTTTCCAATTTGGATCCCTTTTATTTTTACTTCCAGTTTGATTGCTGTGGCTGAGACTTCCAGTACTATGTTAAATAAGACTGGCAAAAGTATGCAACCCTATCTTGTTCTTGTTATTAAGGAAAATGCTTTTAGTTTTTTTTCATTGAGAATGATGTTGGCTGTAGATCTTTCATATGTGGCCTTATATTGAGACATGATCCCTCTATTCCCGGATTGCTGAGCATTTTTATCATATATGCATGCTGGATTTTGTCAAAAGCTTTTTAAGCATCTATTGATATGATCATATGATTTTTATCTTTCATTTTGTTTATGTGGTGTATCACATTTATTGAATTGTGAATATTGTACCATCGTTGCATCCCTGGGATGAATCCCACTTGGTCATGGTGAATAATTTTTTGGATGTATTGCTGAATTTGATTTGCTAG